CCATCCATTTGCCTGCAAATTTCATGATGTCACTGTTTTCAACAGCTGAGTAATATGCCATTGTGTAAATGTACCACATTTTTTAAAATCCATTCTTTGGTTGAGGGATATCTAGGTTGTTTCTAGTTTCTGACCATTATGAATAAAGCTTCTATGAAAATAGTTGAGTAAGTGTCCTTATGGTAGGATGGATCATCCTTTGGGTATATACCCAGGAGTGATTTAGTTGGGTCTTAAGGTGAATCAATTCCCAATTTTCTGAGGAGCTGTCATATTAATTTCCAAAGTGGCTGTACAAGCTTGCACCCCCACCAGCAATGGAGGAGTGTTCCCCTTGCTCCACATCCTTGCCAGCACGAGCTGTCACTTGTGTTTTTGATCTTAGCCATTCTGACAGGTGTAAGATGGAATCTCTGTTGTTATGATTTGCATTTCCCTGATGGCTAAGGATGTTGAACATTGCCTTAAGTATTTCTCATTTGAGATTCCTGGGGATGGGTGGGGATGGGAGTAGGAGGGATCAAAGGTGTGTGTGTTGGGGCAGGGATGGAAGTAGAGAGTACTTGGGAGAGACTACTGGACTTGGGGGTTACTTGAGGGGTGATGGAGAAACCTAGTGTAGTGGAAATTCCCTGGAAACTACGAGGGTGACCTAAGTGAAGTCTCCAATAATGGGGGACACTAAACTGGCTATCTTCTATAACCAGGCAAGGCTTCCAACAGGCAAGGCTTCATCAACTCAACCACAAAACATTTGACCTACAATCTGTACCACCTGCAAGATGTGCTAGGGAAATGGTAACTCAGAATTTGGAGTCACCAACCAATGACTGGTCCAACTTGAGGCCCACACCATGAGAGGGAGCCCAAGCCCATGCCTGACACTGCCTGGGTGGCTAGCAACCAGAGGCAGACAGTCTAGAGACCCAGGATAGAACCAAACACCACAACTGGAAAAAAAAAAAAGGTCAATGAAATGATTCCTAATGATACTGTACTATACTCATAGACCAATGCCTAGCCCATTTGTCATCAGAGAGGCTTCATCTAGCAACTGATAGAAGCAGATGCAGAGACCCACAGTCAAACACTAGGTGAAGCCAGGGGATCCCCACAGAAGAGGGGTGGGGGTGGGGGATGGGGTGTGGGAGGCAGGTGGGTGGGAAGGATTCCAGGAGCCAGAGGGGTCAAGGTTACCACAAGAAAACCCACAGAATCAACTAAGCAGGGCTCATAGGGGCTCACAGAAACAGAAGCAGCAATGATGGAGCTCATATAGGTAAGAACTAAGTCCTCTGTATATATGTTACGGTTGGTGTTCTTGTGGGACTCCTAATAGTAAGAGTGGGGGCTGTCTCTGACTCTTTGCTTGTGCTTGGGATCCTTTTCCTCCTACTGGGTTGCCTTGTCCAGCCTGATATGAGAGTTTGTGCCTAGTCTTACTGTAACTTGTTATGCCATATTTGGTTGATATCCCTGAGAGGCATGCTCTTTTTGTTTTTATTTTTGTTTTTGTTTGTTTGTTTTGAAGAGAAACAGGGGAGGGGTGTGTCCGGGGGAGAGGGGAGGTGGGAGGAGGGACTGGGAGCAGTGGAGAGAGGGGGAAAAACCTGGGTCTGATGTAATGTATGAGAGAAGAACAAAAAAAATATTTTCTGCCCAGGGATCCTGTCTTTCTAACACACATTGTTTCATTTAAAATGAGCCCCAAAGGGCTATGGATAGCTGCCCCATGCATCACCATCCCCATAGTAATGTAAAACATCTGGATAACCCACAGGCTGGTAGTTTTGTGTAGCTAGAGTGTTCCTGGTCCTGCCTGGCCCACGGTCAGGACAAATCTCTCTCACCCGCTGGTCCCGCAGCCTCTCAGACCCAACCAAGCAAACACACAGAGACTTGTATTTCTTATAAACTGCATGGCCGTGGCAGGCTTCTTGCTAACTGTTTTTATATCTTAAATCAACCCATTTCTATTAATCTATAAGTTGCCATGTGGCTCGTGGCATACCAGTATCTTAACGTCTGCTTCTCATCCTGGCAGTGGCTGGCAGCGAAAGAAGAGAATTCTGGGAACAGGAAGGCTGAGGCAGAGAGACGCTGCCAGCTGCCGCCAAGACAAGCGAGATGTAAGGTACTTGTGAGACTTTGCCGATGAAGATGCTGAACTCACCTACAGCCTCTTCTGAGCCACCTCCACTGAGCACTGCGGTTGGGCCAGAGATGGGAGAAAACCTTTTGCTGTGGTGAATTGGCTGGTTTGAGGAGAAAAGCACCAGGCCCTCCCAGTACCCTTTGGCATAAGAACAAGCACTTATGCTAGGAGGGCAGGGGGCAGGGGCGGGGATGGGAGGGGTAGGGAAGCAAACACTGGGACTCCCAGGCACTTATAAATACTCACTGTGACTCGGGAGATGGAGAGGAAAAGAGCTCTAATTGCCTTAAAGACTTACAGGAAACCAGGCTGGGGAGAGGCAGGAAGCTGGTTTGAATTGAGACAGATGGACACGTCCTAGTGCTGGGGTTTGGAGGGATGTGATAACAACTTATACAGAAAGATCTTTCCACCTGCAGAGGTCCATAAGGAAACAGATACATAAACACGAGCCTGGTTCTGTGCTGAAGGCCTGCTGGATCTGTAAAGTGAGGACATGACTGCTCTAAGGTATGGTTGAGGGGAAGGTTTTTAATTTTAGATGTGAGGGAATACACAGCCAGGGGTATCTGGAAGAGTCCAGAGCAGGAAAAGAATTTAGTAGACCAAATTTAGCCATGCCATAGATGAGAGAGTGGGGGAGCGTGAGGAGGAGAAAGAGAGAAAGACAAAAGGAAGGACCAAGAGAGAGAAAGGGGCGGGGGGGGGGGGGCAAGAGAGTGCGTAGCAGAAATGGCAGCATTATATAGGAATGAGAAGCTGGGGGGAGGGAAGCGAAGGTTGGTGAGGTTTGGGGGGGGGGTGGTGAGAAGAGCTGAGAAGAGCCACAGGTGCTGGTGAGCTGGACTGATGCATTAATCTAATTCATCTTTATCAACAAAAGTCAGGGGTCAGATATCAGGGTAAAAACCTGAACAATCAGCAAGCAGGGGAGCAGCCACGGTCACTTCCTACCTCTCTCTCGTTCCTCCATCCCAAAGGACAGAGATCCTGTCTCCACCGCCCTACCACTTCCTGTCTCTTCTCTGTACAGACCTCCAGACCTCTATGGTTAACTAGTGGTTAGCTCCGCCCTCTGACTCCAAGCAAGCTTTATTTGTCAGAACATGAACAAAATATCACACAACACTGGAGGCCAGCATGTGCTTTGGTGTGCTAAAAGGCGCCACAGTTAATTTGTCCTGAATTTCTTTTGGACACGATACTGGAGAGAGGAGAGGCTTCTGTATAGACCGATGTAGAAGGCCAGCAAAGAAAACCTCTGTTTAGAAGTGAAAGCACAGGTGCTTCAATGGGGGAAGGTCCACAACAGGTGTTCTTTAATGGGCTTGGTTCTGAGATATTAACGAGAGAGGGATGTTTAGTGGTAATTAAGCTTTGTAACACATCATGTGACCACACCTTGGGTGCATTTGCACTACTGATTTGATGTTGCCAATTTCCCTTAAATTTACTGGTAGGAGTGGAGGGATGATTGGAGGGGGTGAGGAGTCATCTTTGATGGCACATATCAGACGCCAATCTTCTGATTCATGGTTGCTTTGACTTTTAGTCAATATCTTGTTCAGAGTCTTATTAAGAAGTGAAATAAGGAGCAGATGCAGAGACCCACAGCCAAACATTAGCTAGAGCTCGGGGAATCCTGCAGAAGAGGGTGAGGAAGGATTGTAGGAGTCAGAGGGGTCAAGGTTACCACAAGAAAATCCACAGAATCAACTAACCAGGGCTCCTAGGGGCTCACAGAGATTGAACCATCAATCAGGTAGCATGTATGGGTCTGAGGTAGGTTTCCTGCATATACGCTGTGGTTGAGTAGCATCGCGTTCTTGTGGGGCTCCTAACAGCTGGAGCAGGGGCTGTCTCTGACTCTTTTGCCTGCCTTTGGGACCTTTTTTCTCCTACTGGGTAGCCTTGTCCAACCTTACTATGAGGGGAAGTGCCCAGTCTTATTGCAACTTGATATGCCATGTTTGGTTGATATCCCTGGGAGGCCTGCCCTTTTCTGAAGGGAAATGGAAGAGGAGTGATCTGGGGGAGAGAGGAGGCTGGGGGGATGGTTGGGAGGAGTGGAGGGAGGAGAAACTATCTTTGGGATGTAATGTATAAGATAAGAATTAAAAAAAAACTTTAAAAATGAGAGGAACTAAAAGACAAACTGAGGGAAAAGAGAAACAGTTGTTTTTCTTCACAGACAACATCATTGTTTACCTAAAACCCCAAGGAATTCATAAAAAATAAAGAAGACAACCAAACACAATAAAACCCAAAACTACCAGAACTATTTAATGTCAACAAGACAATAGGGGTCAAAGTTAGTATAAAGTTTTACTTCTGCTTTACCAATCATCAATTTAAAATTGAAGTTAAAAGTACAGAATGATTCAGAGTAGCAGCAATTTCTGCATGGCAAAAGTCAATAAAACACACAAGCTCTGTATGCCACACACTAACGAGCAAATCCTGCCTAAAGTTATCACAGGAGGCAAAAATAAATGGGGCATGCTTATGGTGCTTATGACTGGGGAAGTTCAATGTTAGTATGACATCAGTTCTGCCCAGATTAACCTACAGACTCAATAAAATCCAATTCAAAACCCAGCAAGGTGCTTTGTTATAGAAATAAACAGCCTGATTCTGAGACTCGGGGAAAAAGGCAAGGAAAATTGAAGGGCCAGTTTTGAGACAGAAGAACAAGGTTGGTAGACTCTGCAAAGGTCTCTGCCCTCAGGGTACTGAGACAGAAGATGGGCACTAAGCCAAACAAAGCGACTTTGTCTCCCAGATAGGCAGCGAGCCCAGGATCTGCAATAAACAGTGCATCCAGGATCTGCAGTAAACCACTCACCTTAGACTTTGGAAAGCTGCTTGAGCCTTGTCATGGGCATGCACATACCCCTGTCACATCACAGTGGAGGGACCTCCAAAGCCCTTCACCCTGGGTTTTATTTCTTAGGGCCAGTTGGGTCATTGAGTATAACTTGATTCTAGAAGGGACGAGGATATATCTTGAATTGTTCATACTTTTCATTGACTCAGGACATGGTATTCTGGATGCATGTTGTCCTAGAATCGAGCAAGATTTGAACAATATTGATTGGCTGAGGCCCTTCAGGGACCTGCTGTAAGGCTCACAACACCTGATCTCAGGATTTTCCATAGAGCTTTAGTAACTTGGACAGTATGGTATCGGTGGAGAGACAGACATGGATCAATAAAGTGAATAGATACTCGAGCACATATGTATGGTCAACAGATTCTTGATAACAGTAGAAACAGTTTAATGGAGAAAATTAGTCTTTTCAAGAAAATATGCTGGAAAATCTAAAGGTAAAATAAATTAACCTTGACCCATGTTTAATCACAGAAAACAATTAACTCTAAACATATCATAAACTAAGCCAGGCGGTGGTGGTAGTGCATGCCTTTAATCCCAGCACTCGGGAGGCAGGGCCAGGCAGATCTCTGTAAGTTCAAGGTCAGCCTAGGCTACAGAGTGAGTTCCAGGACAGGCGCAAAGCTACACAGAGAAACCCTGTCTCGAAAACCACCCCTAGCCCCCCCCCCCCCAAAAAAAAGAAATCGTAAACTTAAATGCAAAATAACAAAAAACAATCTAGAAGCAAGTCTGGAAGAAAATCTATGTGATATTGGATTCTGCAACAATTTCTTTGATATGACATATTAGTATAAAAAAGTTGGTAACTTGGACCTTAACAGAGGTAAAAGCCTGGGGGTTGGGACTGTGACTCAGTTGGTGGAAAGCTTGACTAGCATGCATGAAGTCCAGGGTTCAAGCCTCAGCACTGCATAAAGTGGGAGTGATGGTGCATCCCAGTACTTGGGAGATTGTGACAGGAGTATCGGAAGTTCAAGGCCATACATAGAAAGTTCAAGGCCAGGCTAGTATACCTGAGGCCCTGTTCCAAAAATAAAAACCAATTAAAATTTGCTTTTTAAATTTACTGCCAAGAACACACACAGTATTTTCTCCAAGACTTGAAGATGTGTAAACTCCCAAACACTCAACAATAATGAAATGACCCAAGTTTGGAAAATGGAGATATTTAAAAATATTTCATCAAAGAAGATATACATAATAATATGATACACATAATAATGAGACTATCACGATGGAAAGAGGACTGTGAAGGGAGAGGAAAAAGATCCAAAGAGATGAGAGAGGGGATAAAAGGAGAAGAAGAAGAAGAAGGAAAATCATCGCATGTTTTCTCTCATGTGTGGAACACACACACACACACACACACACCACACACACAACCACACACACACCACCACCCCCAAACAGAAGGAAAACTATGTGGGCATGGAAGAAGGAGAGCAGTTTGAGAAATAGGGGGACAAGAGAGAGTAGATGAAGGGTTAATGTGTGCACATACATGTATAAAATGCAACAATGGAAACTGTTGTTCAGTACATTAAAAAACCGATTTCAACAGGATGCTCAGTATCTCCTTTCATTTGGGGGAGTCACAGTGAGATTATACACCTATTAGAACACTAGCTCCCAGTCTGCATGCTGACATAAACCTTTAATCTCAGCTCTCAGGAGGCAGAGGCAGGAAGACTGTGGGTGTGAAGTCAGCCTGGAGTGCATATGGAGAGTCTGTCTCAGAGAGTCAAGAGCAGGGGAAGTGCTGTGGTGGAGTGCTGAGAGAGAGAGAGAGAGAGAGAGAGAGAGAGAGAGAGAGAGAGAGAGAGAGAGAGAGAGCGCACAAACATAAAAATGGGTGCAGAGACTTTGAGAAGCATTTTGAGTTTCGTGTAGTGTAAATGGTGTTAAAATAGACTTGTCACACAGTAGTCCACAGTCAGAGCAATACACATTTTCGTTCAGCAAAAACCCTGTACATGAATGCTACAGGAGTTATATGTATGTATATATATATATACATATATATATATGTGTATATATATATGTATATGTATATGCAATTGCCTCAAACAGCAGACAATTCCAGATTCCTCCAAATGGGTAAAGGACTGGGACACACCCCGAGGAAGAAATAATAAGCAGTGAAAAGATACACAAGTAGCGAACAGTAGGGATCTCAGTCACTAGATGCTAAGAAAAAGAACATGAACTAAAACAGAAAAATCAGTGAGGGGGTTGCCAGGAGCTGGGGGGTAGGGACAAGGGTTTGTAACAAAGCGATGGGTGATGGACTGTTCTATATCTTTAACTGTGGTGGTGGTGCTACATGCTTGTCAAAAAACCATGAAACTATAATGAAGTGTCAAAATTTACTTCCTATAAATTGCACCTCAATTATTTGACTTAAAAACAAACAAGCAAACCTGGATATAGTGCCATTTTCCACACCCTGCTCCCTGTGAGTCTATTCTGAAAACACAGAGGAAAGGATTCTAGAAGCACAAATTCCTTAAATGGCACCCACATGACTATGTATGCACTTCAACTCCTGACATCATCTGTCTATTGTCTGCCAAACAAAGCTTAAACTAAGGTGTCATAATAGAAACACAGAATAGCTTTGTTACTATTATTCTTTCTTTATGATCATGACATCATCTTGGAAGACACAAAAAATGTCTATTTGTGGTAAAATTTAAAAATAATTTGCATATCTCTAAAATATTCTCTTGTTCAATTATTTGATGAGCAGTTTGACCAATCATGACTGTGCATACTTGTAACCCCAGCACTGAGGAGGCAGAGGCAGAAGGATCAAGAGGCCAGCCTTCACCACATAGCACGTGTGATCAGCCTGGGATACATGAGATCCCATCTCAAAAGACAACACAGGGTCAGGGAAATGGCTCGGCAGGTAAAGGTGCTTGCTGCCAAGCCTGATGACCTGAGTTTGACCCCTGGGACCCACATGGTGGAAGGAGAGAATGGACTCCCACAAATTGTCCTCTCCACACCTCCACATGCATACACATGCACACAAAATCAGTACATGGAGTTAAAAATTAAAACCCACAAGAATCGAAATGCCAGTTTCCTCTAACAGTGTCTCCAATTGCTTATATCCTTAATCAGTTAACAATGATGTATATGCAGAAATTGTCCAAAGTTCAAAATGCTTATGGTTTCTATCCTTCCAGCAGGTATGCTTTGTCAAGTACTGATTAAGGCAGTGCTTGATGTATTGCTGTTAAAAATGAAAATCACAGAGCTGGGGAGATGGCTCAGCGCTAACAGCACTGGCTGTTCCTCCAGAAGATTCGGGTTCAATTCCCAGCACCAACATGGCGGCTCACAACCACCTGTAACTCTAGTTCCAGGGGTCCAATGTCCTCTCTAGGCTTCCAAAGGCACCAGGCACACAAGTGGCACATAGACATAAATGCAAGCTAAACACCCACATGCATAAGACAAACAAACAAACAAACAAACAAATAAATAAATAAAATTTAAAAGTCTATTTAGAAGTGGAAGGCTCAGGAAATTTGAGGATCTGAAAGTGGTGTGTACTTTCAGAATGACTTCTGCAGCTTCTCTGAAGCCCACACAAGTGACCTCGAGTATCAGGAGGACGGGACATGAAGAGCCAGGACCCACGGCTAGAGTCGGCGTAGGTGGGAGACAGGGCAGTAGCTTAGAAGAGTTTAAAACTGGAGACACTTAGACATAGTGCGTAGGTGGCGAATGTCCAGAGATGAAGTAGAGGTCAAAATCCAGGAACTCAGATGAAGAGTCGGGCTGTGGAAATTCCCTGTTGGAGAGAGGCCTGAACCAGCCCAAATTACTGTTTATCGAATCCCTACTATGTACTTCGACCTTGGCTTACGTGAAAAAGTTTATGAATGTGACAAACCTGCATGCCAACACTATGACTTTTACTTTACAAGCAAGGAGACTGAGAAAATGACAGGGTCAGGAGAGGAACTCACGACTTCCTCATTCGAAGGCCTGTGCCTTAGACACACTACCCTGCGTCTTAGGAGGGACCACTCAACCTTTTGAGTCTTTGGCTCTAGAGCACATTTTCCAGACTTCTGAAATTCTCTCCACCTCTTCAGGTAGCCATTCCACTCTTTCCGTGGGACCTTTCTTCTTCTTTAGGTCTTGACATATTTCTCCACTTTGCCCTCAATTTTATGTGTGTGTGTGTGTGTGTGTGTGTGTGTGTGTGTGTGTGTGTGTGTGTGTGTTAGTGTCACAACAGCATATGTAGATGAGAGGACAAAGCAAAGAAGACTCTCTCTTCCATTATATGGGTTCCAGGGACCAAAAATCAGGTCTTAAGTCTTGGTAGAAAGTGCCTGTATCCACTGAGCCATCCTCCAGCCCCACTTCGTTTTTTGCAGCCTGTATATCTTTACTCCCTTACAGTAGACTCATTCTTTTACACAATGTCATTCTTCTGGACACAGAGGCATCCTCACCTGTACAATGTTTCTTGCTAAACTGAGCTGTGTTCCTTTTGTTCCTCCTCAACAACTAGAGTCCTACGTCTCTGTAATTGCTCTCGTTTTTCAAGCGGGGATTTCTTCTTCTTCTTCTTCTTCTTCTTCTTCTTCTTCTTCTTCTTCTTCTTCTTCTTCTTCTTCTTCTTCTTCTCCTCCTCCTCCTCCTCCTCCTCCTCCTCCTCCTCCTCCTCCTCCTCCTCCTCCTCCTCCTCCTCCTCCTCCTCCTCCTTCTTCTTCTTCTTCTTCTTCTTCTCCTTCTTCTTCTTTTTCTCAGGGTAATTCAATTTAATCATTACCAAAATACAGACCTACAGATGAGACTGATTCGTTTCAAAAGGTTATCATCTGTGAAGTTTCAAGGAAAAGGTCTCCCTGTCCTCCTCACCCCCGCATAATGCTAAAACAGTACAACTGAATTTCTCTGTGCTGCACCTCTTTTAAAAATATTATTCAGCTGTGTCAGTCAACTTTTAAGTTTTATGACTGATAAACTGAGGAAGGAAATCAACTTCTAAGGAGAAAGGCTTATTTTGGCTCATGGCTTCAGTCCATGTTTGTCTGGCTCTGGTGCTTTTACAATATGCCAAGGAGGAAAGGGCGTCAGAGTGGGGGGCAGCACATGTGGATCACCTCCACATAGCTGTGTGGGGAGGGGGGAGAGATTG